ATATCGCCATATGAACTTGAGATAGAAATAGAAATATGCGCCATCTGAGGGAAAAATTGAATTTTCTCCAATAACAACCTTATAATATATTCTCATTGCCAACAGTCATGGCGAAAATTGCAATTAAAAAGAGTCTTTCAGTAATATGACAATTCACTGAAAATAGTAACGGAGAAAATCCTGCAAATGAATAAAAAATGGCTGGTATTAAGGACGACTTGCAAAAAGATGTCATAAAATGTAAAAATTATGACTTGCATTGGGAGCTTCACATTTATACGAAAAGCTAGCCTATTATTTATTAGCTCATTAAGGTAATTCCTCTTGCTCCTTCTTAGGTCACTTATATCAAAATAAAAGACCAACGTGAAACTCAAATTAATTCCTGATTTTTTTTTCTGCCGGCCGTTAGATGCATTTTGCAAGTAAGACCAAGTTTTGGTATCTATATCTTGTTTCCTAGCTTAGCTTACTTGTAATTTCCGCGCAACTCAAGCACGCTCACAACACTGATAGCCAACATAAAATTCTCACTGATCATTATCTTGCAAGGGATGACAAAACGAACAACCCTAACCATTCATTTGCAAAACATGGGGTCGTATTTTGTTTGATGAGTCACTTATACTCTTTCAGTTTTACTAATATTTGCACATTACATGAAATTGCGCCGCATACGATAGGCATACACGATCCAGGACATAAATATATTTTATTCTAGATATATTATTCCCAACTTAGCTCATTATTTACCCCAAATAAGTATTTTGTCACCATGACAATAGTGTTATTAAATGGTTGTTAATGTGATACAGACTAAAGTTTATGAGCTCAGGCTTTGGTTCCGTGCCGATCAACCTACTGGCTTAATAGAAGATATGAAGACCAAGATGTTGTAGCCCCTGGTATGGTCGCAGTCTGTTTTAAATTTATAGAAGTGGGTTGATCTCGTTGTCGCCACTTGGTTTTGTTGTCAGGGCGACTTAGTAGAACTCACCTAATCCGAAGTCGTCTGCCATAGTAGTTATCATGATTCCCGGCAATAGGATAAGAGTAAAAGAGGAGATAAATAGGCAAGGATAGAAAAAGAAGTGATAGGCTAACCGTTTTCGGTAGAACTTTTGTCAAGGGATTGACTTCACTTGTCTCTTTGACGAGTTCGTATGTTGGTGCGGAGAATGGCAAGACTCACTGATGATGCTGATTACGATGCCGGCGAAACGTTTGAGAATGTACCAAGTCCACTATCTGGTGTTGGGAATTCTGATACCTACTATGGCAGACGACTTTGGAATAGGTGCGTTCTACATAGTCGCCCTGATAACAAGACCAAGTTGCGACAACGAGGTCAACCCACATCTACTGGCTTAAATTCACGTTATTCGCCTCCTCGAGAGGAGCCTAAGGAAAAATCTGAATTGAAATTTCTTGACTGCTGAGACCTTAAGCAACTTTTAAAAGAATGGTCTAAGAGAAGAGCTTCGAAGGTCGGTTCCACCAGAAGACGACGACGGATTCCTCTTGACCAGCTGTCGATTGGCTTTACTGAAAGATTCATGCTGACGCTGTTTCCGAGGTAATCGCCTTCGATTCAGGTGAAAAAGAGATTACCTCGGAAACAACGTCAGCATGAATCCTTCAGTAAAGCCAATCGAAAGCTGGTCAAGAGGAATCCGCTGTCATCTTCTGGTGGAACTGACATTCGAATCTCTTCACCCAACACTTTCATTCGAAATGGAAGTAAGTTCAACAATTATGAAACAAGAGATTCCTCAAAACTCAACTTTTGTTCCCATATAACTATGCAAGCCAGTTGAGGAACTAGGTTTCTATAGGTGAGTCAACAACTTAAGTCTATTAACCAAGTGCAAGCAATGCCTATTTACTTATCTACCGCATTTCTGCCTGTCACGCTACAGAAGTCTTTAGAGTAGTCGTAATCTATATTACATTTTCGTGCTTGGTCAGAGGTGAGAAAACAGGTCTGCCTATGCTTGACTAAGCTGAATACGTAAGCTCAAAAATGAGTTTAAAAGTTGATAAAAAGTGATTTGGCTAAACAATTTGTTGGATGGACTTTCATTTCGTACGAAAGTGCATGAAGAAAAGATTCGTTGGTCGATCTCACCAAATGAGGCTTTTAATTTTCTTTTGGCTTAATTGATTCTATATAAGAAGTAAGACAGAGCAGGATAGTGTTCTTGGTTTAGTGTTAATGTGAGACTTTTACGAGAAAAAACTCAGCTCTGATGATGTCCATCATATGATGGACGAAAGCTCAGCACGTTTTCACCCAAAACGAGAGAGGAAGTCAACATGAATATCGTATAGAATCCAAACGGCTGCAGTACAACGAGATTCATCCGTCCTCATCTGGTGAGATCGACCAACGAATATCTTTCCCATGCACTTTCATACGAAATGAGGGTCATCCAACAATGTTATCTCAGGAGATCAATCGAAACCCAGTTTCTCTTCGTATCTATAAGCAATTTGAATCTTTCTAAGATATGAGGGCCAGGATGGTGCTGCCTTTTGTATCGTCGTGGTCTCCTTTTGTTGTATAGACGTTGTTTGACCTTGTTTTCGCTACTTGGTCATAATGGTAGGAATAGCCGGAGCAACGCATCCAGTCGGGAGTCCATTGTATGAATATGATACTTTCCAGAATCGAACGGTGGACTTGATGCATTACCAGAAGTTTCACCGGAATCGTCAGTGAGCCTTGCCATTATTGGCATCACACTACAACTCGCCAAAGAGACAAGTGAAGTGTGTGCTTGCTAAACAGTTGTGGTATCTCTGCTTCTGTACTAGGCTATTCAACTATCCTTTATCTTCGTATCACCGCTTCAATGTCACAATTTAGCACTTGATTATCTAGACCTACTTGAAATGTATTCACACTTCCCGCTGGTTTCCTCATCGCTCCCACGGTGCCGGAAGGGTTGATACAAAGCTACAGTTTAATCCGCAATCCTCTCTCTTCGGTTCCTATTAGTGTCCCTTCTTGGCGACACAACACGAGAAGGTTGACAACCAGGATTGCTCAAGAGTTTATCGCATCAAATGCGGCAGGACTATATTTGTGAAACAGGAAGAAAAATCGGCCCACGAATCAAGCAACACCAAAGACTCTGCAGAAACATGGACACTGAAAGATCCGAATTAGCGGAACACATGGCAAGATCAGGACAAAAAATCGAATAGAAATCGGCAGAAAGCCTGGTTGCATATGCGTGTAATACAAGACAACACAAGATACAAGAAGCCATTGATATCCTGACTGAAAGAAACCTAATGAACTGGAGACTTGAAGAAGACAAGATTAGTGAAAGGTTTGTATGCTGCCTAAGCAAACTCTGAGAAGATCAGAGGACAGCAATGTCAGCAAAAGGAAGACGACAGGGCAAAGGTAATACTTTGAATTTTAGGAAAAGATATTACAAGGAGACCAGAGAGAAAACAGTCGGAAACCAACAGAAGACGTCTACATTGAGCCTATTCAAATCAAGAATAATTATCAAATTTGGGGGTTGGCACGCAATAGAATGTCATATAAGAGAAAGACAATCGGTGGTGGCCATTTTTAGTTGGCCATTGGTAGATAAGTTTGATCATAGACATGGTCCCTGAAGTAAAGGTTTGACAAAGAGGTATTTCCTCGGTGCCCATGCCGCACAGCAGCAGCGTCAAATAAGGTTGCCATGCCAAATGAGCATCCAGACTTTAGGAGTTTGCTCAGTGCGGCTGGTGTATAGATGCTATCAAGAGCCTGAGACAGAGTGTAGAAGAACGCATTGAGGAGACCGGATACGGTGGCAGCGATGGGGTGAATTCATTGAAACAGGCAGACAATGGAAGGATCCTGCGGAGCAAGAGGTGACTCTGATAGGAACCGAAACAAGAGGATTGCGCATTAAACCGCAGTTTTGGATCCTCATTCTCGGTAAAGTTAAAGGGATGAGGAAACCAGCGGGCAGTGTGAATACATTTCGAATAGGTCAAGATAAACAAGTAAAAACTTGAGAAGAGGGTGACCTCGTTGTTGCAACTTGATCTTGTTTACAGGGAGACATGTAAAACGCACCTAGTCCGAAGTCGTCTTCCATAGTAGTTGTCAGGATTCCCAGCATCAGACAGTAAACTTAGTGCATTATCAAACGTTTCGCCGGCATCATAGTCGGCATCATCAGTGAGTTTTGCCATTCTCCGCAAAGACAAGTCTCTTTGACGAGTTCGTATCTTGGTGCGGAGAATGGTAAAGCTCACTG